TGGCAGTATAATTACTTCCCATCTCAGTAGCAAAGGCTAAGTACAGTAAGAAAAGTGTCACTCAAAGACAGTTGCAAGATGCTTACACGCAGTAATTGCAAGATGCAATATGGATCCATGACTATTAACTCATCAGCAGTTTTGATTCTTACAGCTGTTCCCCTGACCTACTGACTTTGTGCCTATCAAATCTGACAATCTCGAGAAGCATTTTCCTGGACAATTATTTGAGGATTTCTTCTCATGATGGATGGAGTATGGCGGGGATTGTTCTTACTAACAGTGATACTGAAAAGCAGCCATTTGAAATAGGCACTTTATAATTCATTCTCTCTTTTTAGCATGGAGACAAGATTCCAACGGGACTTATACCTAATCCTTCAGCTTTCAGGCTGTTTTTTCATATGAGATTGGAGCCAATTAAGCAAAAACTTCAGACAATGTACAAAGCCCCTGTCCACTGTCTTTATGACTCCCTCAGTACACTGTCAGCTACATGTGAGTCTAGACGAATTTCAAAATGCAGTACAGACAAAAAGGTACATTACCATTTATGTGCAATGAAAACAAGAAAACAGTTAGATGAAGCACTTTTTAAATCAAAGCTGTGAATCCCTCTGAGTTAAAAAGGCCACCAGAGAGACAGTCATGTGATTTGTAGAAACAAACTAGATCCTTGGTTTATATGAAGGGAAAAGACAAAAAGTATACTGGCATATATTTCAAGCAGGTATGGCCATGGAAAACAATACCAAAACATGCAGCAGTGCTCACCTACATGTGTTTGGGCAGCAAAATGAAGGACTATATCTATTTTCTCAGTTTCAAAGAGCTGCTTTATAAAATCAGGTTCACAAATATCTCCCTGAACAGGAAAAAAAAGGCAAATTATTTTTGATAGAAAATAGTCAGCCTCCCTTTATACAAAGTGTCACATAAAAAACCGTTACAAAGGGAACACAGGATACAAACAGCACTATCAACTTAACTCTTGGCAATTTATCAATGCCATGTCTAAAATAAGACCATAGAAAAATTTCACCCATTTTTTTAAAAATCCTCAACAAAACTTATTTCAGAATTTATGTAACTATTAACATTAGAAACAGCAATGTGTCCAAAAATACACACAACAAAAGTACAGCACGGAGCTCCAACACTCTGGCTGAAACGCCAAGTTCCCAGAGCAAGTATGAACTCTCAGTCTGGCAAGCAGGCAGGGACATCTAGTGGCACTGCAAAAGGAGAAGTGGATTCCCACTAAGGGGCATTAGATTATGTCTTGCAACGGTTTTGCTGCTTGCTGTTTATTCTGGTGATGTATTTTTTAAAAAGAGACATTATTTTGAACTAAATGGTTAGCGAATTTTTTTAACTGAAAATCAAGCTTAGTACATCTATGCTGAACAGCAACAGAAATTGTGATTAAAATATATCTTTCATACAGCCCCTAAGTCAAATTTTCTAAACTTACTGTTCTACATTCCAAAACAGACTTCCTTTCCACAGTACCACTAGAGAACATCCTTCTTGCTGTCTTCTAAGGTCAGTACCAATGTTACAGTTCTAATTGTAAGGGTTTCACGTTAGAGATTATCTTTTTCAGCACATTTTTTCCTGTCAGTGTAAACTGCTTGGTTGCATACCAACTGGATGTTAAGCTGTGATTAACTGTCCCTAAAAACCAAAAAAAGAAAAAAAACAAACAACCCAAACATACACCCCAAACCACAAAAAAAAAATCCCACAGTAAAAAGTTGGAATTATTTATACTGATGTAAGTTTTGTGACAAGATATTCCCACCCTTGCTCAAAAGCAGTATAGCCACATCACTCCTAGTTACTGTTTCCCTGCTTCACAAAATGGTATCTTGTAGAACTCCAAGCTCTCTCCAGCAATTAAATTTTAATATCTACCCAGATAACAAGACTTTTATAGGGCATTCGTATATTTCATATTGCACACTAGAAACAATCAAAAGCCTTAGGAAAATAACCAAAAACACACTTTAGTCATGCTGAAACTGCACACACGTGCATGTCTGCATACAGGGTGTCTCTTCCCTCTCATGCAACTTTTAGTCCAAAAGGTCAGATATAATCCCTTACTGAAATAAAGAAATGGCTCACAAAAACATAAACAGCCATAGGGGTCACCAACAGGTCAGGGCAAATTCAGCTTTCAGCCTCGCCTGAATCCAAGAAAAAAGGCAAGTTTACATCTACTACCTCTGAGGAAGGTGCTGTTTTAGCAAACTGAACTCTATGCATTTGTCAGATGTCCTGCAACCTTGGGCAGACCCCAAGACAGAGAAGAGCAACAGCACTGCCTTTTGTAGACAAGGGGAACCTCAGCATACAAGCCCAGCAAGTCCAAATACTGATCTGACCAATAAAACAAAATCTATCTCCTGTCTGAAGACAAAACTGTGGAAGCAATACACCAAAAATCTGTAAAAAGTCACATTTTGTGGAAAGAAGGCTCTATCACCTGGATAAACTTGTAGTTCTCCTTCCCAGAGACAGTTTCAAGATTCTTCAAGCTTGCACAGTAGTCGAGCTAAAGAAAAATGTCACACAACATCAGTAAGTGGGCTTCATGGGAGCAAAAAGGCAAAATCAAACCCAACCTAACCACTGGAAAGTCTGAGAACAAAGTAAACACTTATAGCAAAAAAAAAAACCTACTTTGCAAGCACATGTGAAGCTTTAAAAGTACAAATCTCAAAAAATACCCTAACTGCAAAAATCCTTAAACAGCTGTTTAGAGCTTGAAAAGCTTTGTTCTTTTTCTGAACACCAGTTGATTTTTTTTTTCCCCCACAGGAACAAATGGAAAATCAAATAAAAATTAATAACTAGCAATAAATCATATTAATTTCAACATATTATAGACTGCATCATAAATCACCTAAAACAGTTGTCCATATCAAGAAAGAAAACAAGCTATTACCTTATCCAGATTTATAATCAGATAGTTTGGATAGTTCTTCACAAGAGAGACGACTACATGTGAAGCACTGCAAGATAGAAGAAAAACATTTTACAATTACATATGTGGCTTTTAGGTAATAAAGAGATAACAAATTCCAAATAAATTTGGCATTTTTAAAAGTCTTTGGGTGAAGAAGGGGATCTATTCAAGACAGATGAAAGACAAATTCAAATATATTTTAACATGTCAACATTATTCTAATATATAATCTATATATTATCCTGATATTTTCTATATATAATGCATATGGTCAAGAAACTAAAATCAGAATAAAAGTTCATCCTGTAACGAAAGAAATCAGCACTGCCCACATAAAAAAAAAAAATTGAAGATATGCTATCTTTAATTGCCATTGCAAAATACTTTCGCACTCTAAAGCTTACATATCAGGTATCAGGGAGAACCAGTCAACACTCCTAATCCACGACAGTGATTCCCATCACTCAAGTCTATAACACTGCTGCTAGGTTTAAGTGACAACCAGGAGGCACGGCCCCTCCGACAGGGTCTTGTGTACATGAAGCTCATTCTGAGAGTTCAGGTTAGTCCAGGGGTTATTCACAGAGAAATTTAACCCTCTCGCAGCTTCCAACTCCAAGCATACTCGGGGGCTCAAACTTAAAGAGGGACTAGACCTTTCCCTGACTCAAACTGAGGCCACAGCACTGGGGGTTGATAAGGTTAGGAAAAAGCAGCTGGCTCGAAGCCTTGCCACCTTCAACTCAAAAAATCCATTAGGCTGGAAAAGACCTGAGATCATCGAGTCCAGCTTACGACCAACCATAACCTTGTTAACCAGACCATGGCACTAAGCGCCATGTCTAGTCGTCTTCTGAACACATGCAGGGATAGTGACTCCTGACCTCCCTGGGCAGCCCAGTGATCTAATAATCCTTTCTATCAAAAAATTCTTTCTAATGCCCAACCTAAACCTCCGCTAGCGCACTTTAAGACTGTGTCCTCTCATTTGCTGCCTGGGAGATGAGGCTGAACTCTACCTGACGACATCCCTCTTTCAGGGAGTTGAAAAGAGCAATAAGGTTGTTTCGCCAAAAGGCAAAACAATCCCAGCTCCTTCAGCTGCTCCTCGTAAGGCTTGTGCTCCAGGCCCTTCACCAGCTCCGCTGCCTTCCTCTGGGCAGCCCCGTCCCGGCTGAGGCCGAGCATCGCCTGCCAGCGCCAGGGGGTCCCTCCTTCACCTTCTCGCCAGCCGTAGACGAAGGACCGGCGAGGCAGCATAGCACTTACCACCTCAGAACCCACGACAAGGGCGAGTCACCAGCAGCCCCTGAGAGAGCGGTGGCCCGTGCCAGCGGCGCCAAGGAACCGGCCCGGGACGAGCACAAGGGAGGTGGCACCGCGGGACCCCCGCCCGCCACGTCTCACCCGCGCCCCTGGGCAGGGGGGCGCCGATCCGCTCCGGCCCCGCGGGGCTCACTCACATGAAGCCGGCGCCGCCCGTCACCAGAACCCGCTTCTCGAACACCGGCGGCGCCGCGGGGTCCGCCCGCCCCGACATCGTCCGCGCTTTACGGCACCGGCCCCTCCCTTTCCCCCACGGCTGCGCGTGCGCGACACGGGCCCATGGGTTTCACGGACAGAATCGCAGCGCCTGTAAGAGGGTCATTGAAAGATTGCCTTCCTCGCTCCCCGCGCGGCACCAACAGCGAAGTTGTCACCGTCTCGGAGGCTACCGACAGCGGGGCGGGGACGGCGTATGAAAAGGGCCAATGTTTCGCTTCCGCAGCAACGACTAAACGCCGTCTCTTTTACGTCGCTGAGTCTCTCAACTTACGGCCGGACCCAGCAACGGGACACGTTGCCGCAGGGGCGAGGCCTGGTCGCTCGGTCACGCCCCCAGGGGCGGGCACGCTCCCTCATTGGCTCTTTCGCCGCCCCCGCCCTCCCGCTCGCGCCTAACGCGGCGGGGGGCGTCACGTGACCCGGCGTGGCAGCCCGGGAGGAGGGAGGGAAGGAGGATCCCGGTGTCCGGCGGGTCCCGGCGATGCGGTGGCGGCTGCTGTGGCTGTTCAGCGCCGCTGCCTGCTGCTGCTGGAGCCTCGCCGCGGGCAAGACGCTGCGGGGCGGTTTCGCCAGCGCCGCCGCCCGCCGGGAGCCGTGGCGGCCTGTGGCGCGCTTCCAGTTCTACGGTGGGTGTCCCGAGGGCAGGAGAGCGGCTATGCCGTCCTGGAACGGGGCCAGTGGGGAAGGGGCGGCTGTGAGGAGCCGCTGGGGCGCGGGGGACCCGATAGCGGCCGGAGAGGCCTCGGAGCCGGGGGAGCGCGGTCAGCCCTGCAGCCCTTCGTCCTTCCCCACTCCTCTCTCTTGCACTCTCCTTCTCTCTCTTCCTCCGCCGGGACGTGCAACAGGTCCGATCTGCTCTCCGGGCAGCGCCGGAGCGGGGCCGGCAATCCCGGCCAGCGGCAGGACGCGGCGGGGCGGCGCTGGGTGCAGGAGCTGGCAGTAGCCCCGCGCTGCGGGGCACAGAGGGGAGCGGCGCCGTGAGTGTCCCTTCGGTGTCCCGCGGCGCCGTGAGTGTCCCCTGGTGCCCCGCAGCCTGTGCGGACACTCCCGGCCGAGTGTCCAGGCGAGCAGAGGCGTTCTCACTGCGACGCGCATCGCTCCTTGCCTCTTGGAACTCCACCAAATGGCAGCGGTGCTTTCCGTCGCTGTGCCCCATCTCTGTGTGGTCACTGGGGATGCCGCCCATCAGGATGTGAAATTCTCACCTGTTTATTCCCAATGGCTCTTCTTTCCTGTGTTAAAAACTCCTTGTTGGTAATAATTTCTGACTGTTAGTAATTACTTAGTAATAATTCCTGACTACTATCCTGCTGAAAGAGAGCCTGAGCAGTGGTCCACTGTGCTTGCTAAGGAAGTTTTACTTTGCAGAAAAAAACGTGTGTAACCATGATAAGTGCCATGTCCAGCAAGGCTGTGCTGGTCAGCCTGCTTTTCCTATGTGCTCAGCATTTCCGTAGCTTAGGCTGTTTTTCTTTCCCATTGAGCTTCGTAGCAGAACAGTTCTGCGGAGTGCTTCAGAATCTAACGGGATGAAGGGAAACGTGACATAAGCAAAATTAGAGCTGGAGCTCCAGTTTCCAGCACTGGATGAGAAATGATAGATAGGGTGGAGTTAGCCTATGAAGTGACTTGAAAGCAGTTAATTATCACTGTCCTAGAAGTTAATTGTAGGAGTGCTCTAAATAGATCTGAAGGGGAGAAGTGCACTGTTTAAATCTGAGAAAAGACTGTAAAAATTCAAGATGAGTGGTGTAGGTGTTCAGATATAATTCTATAAATTGATGTTGCATATTTGCATCGAAATACTTCTCTTTCTTCATGAATACCAACAACTATTTCGGATCTTAGTGATGCTATCTTTAGAGCCTTCTGTTAATATTTAAAAATCTTACCTAAACTGTAGTTCATATCACATTTTACTGATTTTTCTTCTCCACTAAATTCTACCTTTTAATTTAGGATACTCCTAGTTTAAAGAAGTCTGTGGCAATGTATGAAAGAAGTTATGAAAACAAGTTTGAGGATTGTGGAATTACTCAGGCGAGATAAATTTTGTCAAATGAGCTGGTTCTGAAATGACTAAAATATTTCTGTGTGTTAAGATGCAGCCCATAGTGTCAGGGCAAGGGGAAATGGTTTCAGACTGAAAGAAAGTAGGTTTAGATTAGATATTAGGAAAAAAATTTTATGATGAGAGTGGTGAGGCACTGGAACACGTTGCCTAGAGGAGTTGTGGATGCCCCATCCCTGGAAGTTTTTAAGGACAGCCTGGATGGGGCTTTGAGCAGCCTAGTCTAGTAGAAAGTGTCCCTGTCCACAGCAGGGAGGGTTGGAAATTAGGTGGTCTTTCAAGTCCCTTCCAACCCAGGCCATTCTGCCATTCAACGATTCTACAGGTAGGCTGACACAGTGGAGAACACTTTTGAAGTTTTTCTTTGCATCAATTTGACTTCTGTCATCTATAACTAAATATTTTAGCTCTAATCCATCCCTAAAGTGAAAATCCATTTAATAAGTTCTTCTGGTGTTAGGCTTAAGAGCTACCCTGTAATGGTCATAGTCATACCATAGAAGTCATAAAATACTAGACTTTGAACTAGTTATTGAGGCACTATCTTTAACTTGAAAACAATAAAATTTGGGATGGGAGGGAGAAAGGAAAAAAGTTATCTGGAAGTCTGTTTTATAAAAGAATGGGGAGGGAAGGCTGTTTGTAGTAGAGAAGTTTAATGACATTTGGCTATGATGAAGGTTTGTTTAAGTATCATCATAGAGAATTGTGCATTCACAGGTTTCTTAATGAGAGACATAGAAATTGTTTCTGAAAGACCATCAATACTTTTACTTGGAAGCAGTGGTAAAAAAATTAAGGATAATATGAAGCTGTATTGCAGCTACTTACTAAAAAATCTGTGCCACACTGTCTTTTTGCTTGTAGCTGACATCAAGACAGAATAGTTGATTTTATTTTTTAAATATCAAGGTGACCATGCTGTTCTGTGTGTCAGAATCAAGAATGTAGCAGTAGCTGTGGCAAAAGCAGCTAGACTTCACCTCTTTCAAGCGCAGGAATGGCAGAAGCTGGAAAACAGTGTCCAAGATGACAGCTGTACAGAGAAGTTCTCTAAAGCTCAGCTGACAAGTGAGTTACTGCTTTTTTTCTCCTTACAGAGTTACTATGTTATCTATGTTAGCATTAGATAACTAGTTAATATAGATAACTAATTATCTATGTCTTTAGAATTTTCATTTCAGTGAATTTGGGCTTTGCAGCTGGGACTTTGGCCTTCTGCAATTAAAAATGCTACAAGGAAAAGAAATTTCCTTGTATCACTTCAGAAGACTTTGTTTGCAAGTTATGATTTAATGGGCTGCTGGAAAATGAAATCCATGACAAACAATGGCTTTATGACAAGTTCCACTTCAATCTTTCACATGTTCACAACTCATAAAGGGTACATACTTGGCTGAAGTTTTCATTTAGTCATTCAGTACAGAGTTTTATTTTTTTTAACTCCGTACAGAGTAAATGTCTTTCTTTTGGGTTGGTTTTTTTTAATCTCACATTTTCCATAAAATATATTATCTTGGGTGCGTGAGGGAATTTACAAAGAATACCATGGTACTAAGAAAATGAAGAACTAAAGAATCTGAATGTTTGGGACAGTCAAACATTTGACTTTTTTGAGTTGTGACTTTCATTGCAGTGGAATGAAAAACAAATTAGAGGCAAAGTGATGGAACCTGCTGCAGTTGCCTCTAAACTTCTGAAGCAAATGCTTGTAAGGTGGGAGTGTGTAGCCCAAATACAAAGTAAAAGGGTAGTTTTGTACCTGAAACCTTCTCTTTCACTACCTCACAATAGGTCTCTTCTCTGCAAAAATTAATTTGCGTCATGCTGCATTACTTCATAACTTGCCTCTATTATAACTTAATGCTATTTCACCCTTTACTTTTATAACTTGATATTTGTCACTGAATCTCACATTTAGCTGTTTTTAATATTTGAGCTAAGAGTTATAACAGTATAGAATATGTAGATTTTCTTTTTGTCTCTTGTTTACAAAGGAACATTTCTCACTTGTCAGGAGGCTCCAGTTCCATGGAAATGGCATTTTTCAAAGCAGAGAAAACGAAAATAAAATTATATTTTCATGATAGCACAGATCTGTCATGCTTTGATGTACAAAACATGTTAGAAAATTTTTAATACTGTATCAAAGATGAGCTAATCAGTGTAAAACTTAAATTGAGTACCCATCTGAATGTGAAAGAACTGCAAAACACGGAAGCATTGATTTATGTAACTGGAAGACAGACTGAATTAATAAGTTTTGCACCATTTGTTGATTGTAATGGTACTTAAAGCATAAATTTTCCTATAAGAAATTAAATTGGTACTAAAACCTTCATTCAAATGTGTTTTAAGTGACTACAACTTCTCTTTTAAATACATTTCCTTTGTCCAGTCAATCCCAAGAGTAACAGATTGATGTCCTGTAACATTTGTCATAATGAAATATTACACAGATGTTACTTCTAGGGATGTGGTTTCCTTACACTTCATCAGAGCTGCACAGAAGTGCTGGTGGAATAACTGGCAGTTGTTCTGTCACTCCTGACTGTCCCAGCAGTGTACTCACTGTTTTCTGCTCCGTTAGGAGTTGTACGACCACAGGGTGAGCTGGATCTCTTTGCTGATCTTGGGCAAAATCAGTTGCTTTTCTACCTCTGAGTCAGCTTATAGATTTGAGAGGAAACTGATTAAATGCACTCTGTGTGATCCTTACTCTTGGTGCAAATAACACAGTGTCAGAGCTGAGAGGTGACATGGGGAGTAAAGCCACTCCTGTCAGCTGCAGTTTTCCTTTCATTTGGACTAAACATCATATGAAATTCTGGTTTCCATGTCATCCAAATCTGTACCTCATGACAGTTGCTGCAAGGACACATACAGTACAGTTCTTTCTGGATTCCAGTGTTGCTCAGCTCATACCTTGAGAGAACAGAAAATAACTTATTGTAGCTGAAACACATTTATTGGAATTACATAGAAGTTTTTCACAGGTATGCTTCAAGTTAGAAATTTGTTCTAAATTTTGTCTACAAAATATTTAGAGAAAAGGAGTTTGTATGTTTGCAGCGCTTTTATTTAGAAAGCCTTTCACAAAAAAAAACGTGTTTTGTGGTGTTTTTAATGAAATTTTTCTTCATCTTTAGCCACTGTCATCTTTACCTATTAAGGTGAATTATTCTGTCATTGTTATTTCTCCTGCAGAGAAATGACTGAGCTGATCAGCACTCGAGTTCAGTAGTCAATGTGACAGTGCTTGCATTTCTTGCAGTTTCAGCCAAACACAGAGAGCCACAGTTTTCATTTGCATCAAGAATTTGAAGAGACCCTGCTTGGTTAACTGTTGTTTTTAGGCAAAAATAGTGGTAAGATAGCAAGCAGATGAAACAGGGGTATCTTACATAGTTGTTTTTAAATGTAATCTGATTTGAAATATGCAGTTTGATTACATAATAGTTTCAGCTCTTAACTGTTAATTGAAATTCATTATGCTACAGTTTGGGAAAGATCCTGAGAAATAATACGGATTTGCACCTTTAAATCATGCATGGTGGTGTTTACTGAGCTCACATGCAGATGTTTGACAGTCAAATAAATTTCACTAAGCTATTTTTCATGCTACAGAAGTACCTGGTGGGTAGTACAGAATAGTTAATCCTGTCAATACAGAACTAGAGAATGGAAATGTGCTAAGCAAAGGAGATAGTTTGCTATCTGGCTTCTGGAAGGAGGGAGCCCTCCCAGCAGAGCTGAAAGGTGGGATGCAGTGTCCTCACCAACCCTTGCCCACACCTGCTTGAAACCAAAGCTGAAGTTGGAGGTCTGGTCTCTGGTTATGGATAATTTTCAAAACTCAGTCTTTTTTCTACTGTGCATAGTTTATAATCTGTATGTGATGCTGTGGATTATCTTCGTTCAAAGATATGTTTTCTAAAACCAAACCAATCAAGTATTTACTCCTATTTTTGTGTTTTTTGTTTTCTTCCTAAGTGACTGTGAACCACACAGAGCAAAATCTGACAGTGTCCCAGATTCCTTATCCGGAAACATGGTATGTGTTTTATGTAGACAAGTTTACCTGCGAGGAGAATTATTCTGAATCCGAGGATATTCAGTTTGAAATGATCTTACTAAACCCAGATGCAGAAGGGAATCCATTAGATCACTTTAGCGCAGGGGAATCTGGTAAGATTTTTTTTTCTTAAAATTAGATTTGTAAGTTAAGGATCTGATTACTCAAATCAGTACTTACGGTGCTTGGAAAAGGATGGGGCATGGCTAGCAGAGCCTCTTATATTTCATATCCTGTTTTCCTAAGAAGAGTAAATTTGAGTTCGTTTTCTGTCATCACAGAAAAATCCTTTCCTTTCCCTAGACTGACTTTCCAAAACTTTCCTAACTAGAAGTGTAGATGCACAAGGAAAGTCAATGTTAATGTCTTTGCTGATAGGTATTTTGAACATGTTAAAATTGTAATCTTCCACTTGAATGTGAACTTAATACCTGATTTTAATTAATTAGTGAAATTCCTTAGCTGTGTGAAACTTGATTCAACAAGAGTACATGCACAATAAAACATTTTTCCAGTACAATTTCAGTTCAGTGTTTAGATCTTTATAAGTGTTGTAGTCACCGGCTGTAGGTTAGGTTTGCCAGGCCTGATTTTATTAAGAAACGTAATTTTAAATCTTTAGACATTCAATGAAAAACTCAAGACAGCAGCTGAAGAAGCACCTACATAAAATTGTAGGCTTTGGACAATCCAGCCTAATGTATTTTTGGTTGCAGTGAGTAGCATCACTGCTCTGGGAAGCCTCATCAATATGTCACTCACCTGGGTCTGTTGTTAGGGAAGGGCCCTGTAGGCTTAATCTGCCTTCCTATACAGAGTGAACCTGAATATCCTGAGGATGAGCCTAATTGCTGTGCTTGGAATCAAATGCCCTGCTGTCACTTGTGGTCTCAAGAGAATGTAGTGGGAACAAAGGCAGCTCAGTTTTTGAAAGGAAGAAAAATATTCACTGGAATATTTAGCAGAATCTCTGAGAGAGTAGCACATTAATAATCTGGATTTCAAGGCTCATAATCAGACTTCTCTCTTTAACTTCTTACGTTCTACAAATTTGCCAGTTTTTATTTAGTGAATTTGTTCTTCAGAAGTGAATTCTAGGTTAATTTACTCACTCTCAAAGAGGAGTAATAGCTAAAGGAGTAATTGCTAAATCAAGGAGCAAAGCAGCTACACACCATCATATGGCCCACTAAAGTGATGTAGAGACCTCCTACAGAGGCTTCTTGGCTCTGTATTAATTTTGTAGGAAGACTGAGCACTTGGAAGCAGAACTCTGAACAGGTTATGTGCTGAGTAAGGAGGTGTGTAAATGTGCTGGATGTATGTATTTAGATCTAACAAGTAGGAGGCGAGGTGACCTGTACATGCCATGTCTTTGAGTTGCAGAGGAACACCTCTGTTGATTCAGAATTAAAACCTCCATCGTTGCAATGAATCCTGAAGCTACATGCACTACTTTCAAAGAGCTGAGGAGCATTTAATCTCTCTCTCATTCTCTCTCTTCTTTAATTTTTTATGCATCTCTGGGAAATAATATTTGGCATTTTTCCACAGAAAATTAGAATGAGAGGGTATCAAAGAGAAGATCTAGCTTTATTTCTTACTTATTTCATGCAGGCAACTAAAAATTAAATAGTTGCAGAAGATTTTAGTTAGGTCTTCCTTCACTCAAGTTACTTTAGGCTGTGGCCTAAAGGACAGGACAGGCACAGGACATCTCAAAAATTAAATGAATAATAAGGAAAGCATGGGGAAGAATTTGAGGATAAGTGAGAGAATTAGAATGTAGGATTTTTAAAGGCAGCTGAACAGGTAGCATTTTGAAGAGCTTTGAAGTAAGGAATTTCAAATAATATTTTACTTTGTCTGTCAGCTAGGTTCCTTGAAAGTCAGGAAACGTAGAGACAGGTTGAAAATTGTATTTTTTATAGTTGGTTTTCAATGCAGCTTTCTCCTAACCCCTTTTGGTCTCAAACCAATAATCTACACTCTGTCTATGGTTGGAAGGAGCGTTCTATCATAAATGCTTAGTGTTTGTTAAAAGCTAGTTGATTTTCCTAAAGAGTTTTCCAAGGTTTCTCACTCATCATGGTGAGAAATAACTTTTACCTAGAAAGATCTTGCCAACTTCACTGGGTATCTTTTGAAGCAGAAGGAAAGATTTCATCTAAACCACATACCTTTGTCATTGATAAATCATGCTTATGTATTGGTGTACAAGAGAAGAAGAGTGGCCTGGAATTTTTAAGACTCTTTATTACCTTATGCTCTTTTTCTCCCATTTTCCTGCATGTATGTCCAAAATGGTTAATTTCAGTCACAGAAGCTATAATGCTAGCTACTATTCAGAACTTACCCATTTCCAATATTTTTCAGCTCAGATATTGAAATGTGTATACTTGCTTTTTCCAGTCTCTGGGTGGAGCTGGCAGGAAGCTTTTACCAGAGTTATTTTGCTGCTGGAGAAAACGTTGGTTTTTTTTGGAATCTGATTCTATAGCCAGCACTAAATTTCAATGAAGGTTGGAGAAAGGAAACAGGTTTTCTGTGAGAAATGTTTACCTTTCTGCTCACATCTCACTGGCTTTGACCCTTTGGGAGCTCCTGATGGGTTGCAAAGCATAGGGACAATAGAAAATATTTCCAGGATCCAGGTCTTAAGGGAAGCATTTTACCAGACTACTGCCAGACTGATAAGATTTCTGTTTTATAAATAATCATAATAATAAATAAAATAAACAAATTTGGGGAATTTTTTTTTTACAAGCCCCAAAAAATGCATGCTAAGGACTAATTACTATTTTCTGTGCTACTTTTCTTTATCTGAGTTTTCGGACTTGATCAGCTGTGCTTCTTGAGCTGCTTTATGCAGAGGAAGGGTGACACCCAGTGGTTGAAAAGATTAAATAGAAGTTTGTCTGGGATTTCTCTCACCTCGGTTTGTGCCTTTACAGAATGAAACGAGCATGCAAAAAGAGCTAAAATGAGTCCTTTAACAAATATATTTCTGACTGATCGAATGAGCTACAATTGTTTTGTGTGTACCAAGAAACTGTGTGTCACTTTATACTAGTCTGGTAATTGCTGCAATCCTCTTTGCTCAGAAAAAGTATTCTTGATTTAAAACATTTTGTCAGATCAAATAGTAATTGGTGCTCTGATAAAATTCTCTGATTTTTTTTTATAAAATTGGCCAGGATTTAGACATTTTTATGTGTACTACCACTTTTGGGTAACAGTTGCTAAGTATTTCCTAATGACTGTATTTAAAAAAAAAAAAAACACTTTTTTGGTTTGGTTTGGTTTTTTAGTTATTTGCTGCTAGTAGCAATATTTCTTTGTAAAACTAAGTTGTATTCCTTTTTCTTTCCACAGGATTACATGAGTTCTTTTTCCTACTTGTCCTAGCATACTTCATAACTGCTTGCATATATGCACAATCCCTGTGGCAAACAATTAGGAAGCGTGGACCTATGCATGGTGTATTAAAGGTGTTGACAATTGCATTACTGTTGCAGGCTGGTTCAGCTGTTGCCAACTACCTGCATTTCTCAAGGTACTTCTGCTCCTTTTCTGCTTTCAGTCTTTAGACTTGAAGAACCATGTATTATAAGATCAGTATGTGATTAGCCTGGGAGGGACTGTGACAAAATATAGGACTGACTTCTGAACTGCATCATTTCCTAAATGTACTTGTGAAAGAGAACATCCTTTTAAGACACACCCACTTAAGAATACGATCTTTTTATTCTTTTTGCAGTTATTCTAGAGATGGGATAGGCGCTCCTTTTATGGGAAGTCTGGCAGAATGTGAGTAGGCCTGTCTCCTGTTTCTTACATATTCCTACCCATGAATCTGTATAATACATTAGCAAATGCTGTTGCTGGACTATACTATGATCTTGGATCACATAATTGAATTCTTAATAGAAAATACTAAAAATTGCTCCTTCAGGAAAAAAATTGTTTTATGTGTTTACAATAACTGTATTTGAAGTTGTGCATCTGTGATATTGTTTAGAATTTTTCAAAATATTTTTTTGTCTCAAGATTCCTTGCTACAAACATTTAAAGACATGACTATCACCTAAGCAGGTCTTTAAAAACATGGAAGAGTTTTGTGGAGTTAGACCTAGAAAGCCAAGCTTTTTAGGAAACTTAATCATATTTTATAGAATTTGTCATTTCACTAACAAATTTAACAATTATTATATGGATAAGTATTTTACAGCACAAATTTTATTATTAGCATGGTACAAAAAATGCTTATGTGAAGGTTTGATGCTAACAGCATTTTTCTTCACTATATATATATTCTAAGTTCTCACTGAAACTGAATTCCCATAGCATACCTTTCCAAAATGCACTAACTTAATCTTGTTCTATTCTTCATTCTCCATTGTTGTTGGGTAGTTTGGCTTTTTTTTTCCCTGCAGCTCACATTTGAAGAATTGGAGGTTCATTCCAAGCAAATACATTTCCTTTTGACTGGCTTGAAGAACCCCAAGAAAGTAGTACTGCAGTAGTGTGATAGTGTTGGGGAGGAACAGCCTATACAGAGAAATATTTCCCTTTGTAGAGTTCATTTAGAAGGCTGCAGTTGGGATTATCAGCCTCTTGATGGCACCTCACACCACAATAATTACCTCTTTCTTGTTTTAACCATTTGAGCTGGCAGCTCCTTGCAGCCACTCCAGCAACTGTGTTATTAAACATTCCTTCTCATCTCATGAAATAAAATGGAGAATATGGAGGTAGTCAGAAGTACACCCCAGTGTTAACTGTCCAGAAATTCAGAGAGAATAACTTCATGTTCGATTTTTTTTTTGTGTGTGTATGTGTGGTAGTCAAAAAGCTCACTTTTATTTAGATAAGCAAACATTATAATGAATATTATTTTTTTGAATCAGTAGCTGAATTTCTTAAATTCAGCGATGAAAGTTTTCCTTTTATTACTGTCTGTGAAGTTGGTGGTTTCCAAAACAGTGAAAGAGCCAAAGTAATAGAAATGTGGAAAGCTTCAGTGACAATTACAATTCTGAAGAATGGCTTATGGCAAGTAGTATAATTTGAAAGGGAAAGATGATACCATTTTTCCTATATGCTAACAGAAATCTGAGTTAAAAATAAATGTTAAAATTTCTATTAATTGCAGTGTGGCCAGAATATCTTTCTAAAAACCTGTTCAGATACGCTCTCAAGCAATTATTCTTTTCCTAGTGTTATTTAGTCTTTACCACGTATAAAGAGCTGATCCTCAGTCTAATTAACCACCTAACCTAATCACATCAATCACACAAATAATGTTGGCACTCAGAAGCATTGCAAATGGTCCTTTTTACTTTTGGTAAGAATAAAATGTGAAAAGTCAAAGACTATTTTTATGTCTGTCGAATAGTCAGAAAAGATGAATTGTGATGAAATCAGACTATTATGGTATCAGCTCAGTAACGTGACTTTACTCTGACCCTGACTATTGTGGGATCATTGTACTCTTTAAAATTTTTCTCACCTTTGTTCCTTTTTAGCAAAGTGTATGGCATGTCAAAGATTAAAGCTTGTTGTGGATTTTTGTCTTAAACGAATTTATGTGGGAATCCACTTGAATTGTTACCACACTGAAGCAGAGCAGTATCTATATCCACGACGTGCTTGAGAGATGATGTCTGGCTATACCTTATAGGGCAGGTTATCTTAAGGAATGACAGAAAAGAAAATGCTCCCTGGAATACACAGAATTATTCAGTCATTTTTCTAGTTTGGATTTGTGACACTGGTTTGGCATGCCTTTTGTTCATGTAACAATTCTTTTTCTAGTAAGTACTGTCTCTCAATAAGGTAGAATTGGAAAATAATTCCATGATCATTGTTTTGCCCAAAATCAGTGCTGGCTGATTTTATTAAAGAATGGTCAAGTTTGTATTTACTAAAAGCTCTTGGCAGATCATAAACAGCAAAGGTGTTAATACATTAAGAAGCATTTAAGCATGTAAACTCTGAGAATACCAAGCATATCCCAGGAATTACATTTTGAAGTTTGTTTTATACCCTTATTTTGCTAGTATTGCTGAGTCTCAGAGAAATATTGTAGATTATCTTCTTTTGACTCACTTCTCTTGTATCCATATTAATTTCTGTACAGTGGCAACATTTTCTCTGCTGATATTTTTAGTAAATGTGGTATTTATGTTTTTTAATGCAGTCCAGTTGTATAAAAGTAGAGCTTTGCTTTTTTGTGACAGAAATATTATTCTTGTACCTGATAGTGTAAGTGAAAATTACAGATAAGGAACAAATTTAATTGAACTAAAATATTAATGAAGGGAAAAAGAAAGCATTGCTGTGTGTAGTGCCCAATCTCTAGTTTCTGTACCAAATTTGCAATTTACATAGTGTAAGAATCAATTTTTCTTTTACATCTCTGCTACGCCAGTACAATGAGTCAGGTCCCAACACCAACTTTAAAATTGTTCATTAAGTCAGAAATGTACCAGATCTAAAGCTAACAATCACTCAGAAAGAAATATTCAGGTTTTTCTACTGTCAGTAGTGCTGCAGCAAGGCTACAAATAAAGGCTTTAATATATTCTAGTTTAAAGTTTTCTTTATTTTGATGCAGCTTCAAACACAAGTTTGAGACACTGATTAAGAATGTAACTTTATGGAGTATGTATTAATTGTTCCCAAACAGGTAAAAATGGACATAGCAAAATGAGGCAAAGGTACTTTGCATTTAATAAGATGAAATACAGACAAGTTGTTGATCTAAATGAAGTTTGTGTTAGAGTTATTCATTATATTTTCCCCTTTAAGTATCTCAGAGTGGAATTTGTCCTTTGTATTTGTGCTTTCTTCTGGAAGCTACTACATCCTCAAGACAAAGTGCAATTAATTCAAAGTACAATGTAACTATCTGATTTTTGAACAAAAGTTCTTCAGAGCAAAGAAATGAGTTCATTTCATCATGTTGCATATTTGCAGTATGATTAACATACATATGATTTTTAGTTCTTTAGCATTTATAAGTCTATTTATGCAGATGGACTCCTGAGCCCAGACTACTCTGACACAAGAATGGGATTTGGAAAGTCGTGGCACTGGGCCCATGTTCTTGCAGAACTGCAATGTAACTGCAGGAAAGCTGATAGTGATCTGTTTGGTCAAAATAGCCACATTTTGTGGCTAAGCAACCTAACCTCACTTAACATCATTAATCTAACTCATCAAAATTAAAAGGTGATACAGAGGCATAAACGTCCATCCTTCATTTGCAGGTATATAGAACATTTCTCTGTGATATAGAAAAAAACAAAACTTTATTCATTTTAATTTTATTCATTTTTCGTTTGTTTTCAATAGTGTGTGACATAATCTCACAGATACAAATGCTGTATTTATTGTTGAGTCTGTGTGTGGGTTGGACAATAGGCAGAATGAAGAAATCTCATGGCAGACCTCTTCAGTGGGATTCCAGTCCAGCATCTACTGGCATTGCTGTAGTAGTTGTTGTTACACAGGTTTGTATTTCATATTCATTCTTACACTGAAGTGTACAGCTGCTATTAAGTATGACAGAACTGTGAACCAAATAATTTCAATATTTTAATTTTATGAGGGAGGGAGTATCGAGACTAGAAAAAAGCCCACAGCATAATGTGCACCCAGTATGTCTAATATGTAACACCACCTTCTCTTTACTTTAACAATTTAAGATGTAGCTTCACAGTATGTTTTTGTCTAGCAGTAAAACCACTTAAGAAGTTCCCACAGTTTTCCTAACTCCTGATTGTGCCAACTCTTTGTAGCATTATACTGTGAACCAGATTAGTGGAACAACCTAGAGTGAAAAAAGTTAAAAAAAATTTTTTGCACAGTCATTTTATTGATCTGATTTGTAATGTGGTCCTATAAATAATTGTAACCAGTACAACTGAGGTATTGTGAACTATGTTATGCAGATTGACAATCAGCAGCATAGGAGGAAAGACAAGAAAAGAGGCTATAACAAAGTCTTTGTCATTAACAAAAGAAAATCATCAGTGCCCTCTTTTTGGAAGCACTCAAACAGAATGTCTAATGGTCCTTTCAATCAATATAAGGAAGAGAATTCTTGAAAGGTTCATGTGCAGGATTGGTCTTGCAAATATACAAATGGTCTGACACATAATTTCATTCAAATATTTTCCATTAGTATAAATTAGAAAGTTAAGTAAACCAGTAACTTAAAAGTAAATTGTAATGGAAATCATTCAACCCTGGTGGTGCCTTTTGTAAACAAATTTTTTTAAATCACATCATAAAGACAAGAGAATCTGAAAACCATTGAGAAAGAGAAGAGCAGGGAGAAACTGGAGACAGTAATGAGGAAGAGATTATACTGAAGATTTTTGTGTTATTTGGGTAGTATCTGTAATTAGTGCTGCTTCTAAACTAACTAAGTGGACTTCTAGAACATTAAGAATAGCTGGGAGCTGGCATTTCTTGCTAATTAAGAGTATAAACCAAAGGCTGCTAAGGTCAGTGGGACTGTTGAAATTTGAAGATGGGTATCAAAGTAAGGTGGAATGAACCTATCCAGCACCAGAATTTTTACATGCTGGTAGTAAAGAAGACTTCTAAAGTATTTAATTTCATTTATGCCTCTGCACTTGTGCATATGTATGGGTATGTTAGTACTCTTCCACTTGAGACTGGAAAGTTTTTCATTGTTGTTTCCTTTTACTATACATAGAAAAGACACTCAGTATAATCAGCTTGATCATATTTTGGTTGTTATTTATGGTAAAAGTGGGGCAGGCATCATACATGTGAGCTGCTTCCCCCAAGACTGGTCCATTACACATCTTTTGGCTCTTGGAGAAGCATTGGAGCATTAGCACCAGTAAGGCAGAGCTCTACTACATCTCCTCCTGGTACCATTGGGAATGTCAGGTTTGGCAGGAGTCTTTTAGGAACACAGTATGGGTATTGGAATATGTCATTGCCTAAGTGGCCTTGCACCCCCATATCAGTAATTGCTGTCTCCAGCAAAATTTCCCTCACACCAAGAGTATCCCTTCTGGAGAGGATATTTTCCATCTCATGATTCAGTACATATGAAATACACCTTCTGCCAGATTTGTTCTCCGTATTACAGAGTGCAGCTGTTGGGCTCAGCAAAACAGGATTTAGACTGTATCACCTCTATCGAACGTGGAGTTCAAGAGTTCATCTTTGGATTAGTCAGCTGTTCACTAGTCTGTCTAGATTGACATGGATGTTTGACCTGCTGTAAACAATGGCTTTTAATGGCTAAAAATGTAGAATAACCTTCCTGTTCTGATCTTTCCCAGAGATTCTTATAGGAGAACCAGCTTCTGTCTATGCCAGAGATTAGAAGGACTTTGTGGCTAATCAGAGATGTTCTGAGGACTTGCTGAGGAGGCTGCTGGAAACTATGTGCATTAAGCTAATGCACCATATAGAGATTGCACCATGTTAGTTTTACTGACACTCTCCTGTACCTGTCTCATGTCATCTTCAGGGAAGTCAAGAAAGTGGACAGCTTGAGAAAACATGTTATTCGTCAACTTAAATACAATTTTGACTGGCAAACTGTCTGAGCCTGTTTGCCTATTACTAGTTCAAATTACTCAGCAAATTTTCAGGGGGCTTTCTCCTCTTTGTACTGATTCTATGGATTTTTTCTTTTTGTTCTTTCAGAAGCACTAGCAATTTCCTGGGCTATGTTTATGGGTTGCCTTCAGTGTCGGGTGGACACAGCCTCCTAGTCAGCAAATGTCTTGTGGTCTTTGCAGCTGCAAAGAGGTAACATCTCAAAGGAGGGACAAATCTTTTAGCATCATTTAGCATCTCCCTTTGCCTTAACTTGTTCTTTATTTCAGCCACAGAACAAAAAATTCCCAGGCTGCTGTGCATTCATAAAAAATTCCATTTTCTGCTGCTGCTGAGGCAAAAACTTCAGAACTTAACTAATGGCAGGCCGTTCCCATCACGTAGACCTGAGCAGTTTCACCTTTCAGGGATGACCAGACTGGAGGCAATGGTTCTGGAAAGATAGCTTATTGCTCTGAACCTGATCAAGATGGCATAGAATCTTACTGTTAGACACCGCCCTACACAGGGGTTCTTAGGTGTACTCAGAATGAACTCTACCTCTGACCCTAGATCTAAACCATTTTTTGCTGTACTGGCATTGTGTGACATCAGATAACTGAGTACTAGATATGGTTAGAAACTGCTAGTTTGCCTTGCTGCTCCTTCTAATTTCCCTTTTGCTTCCCCCTTCCCCTTGCCTCTCAGGGGTTATTTGTGCCATGAGAACCTGTCTTTGCTGGAGATTGATACGTTATCTTGGCTTGTCATAAAGTCAGTGTTGGCATCGTGAAGGGAAGGAGGAGTCCTACCATAATTGTTTCCTCATGACATAAAGGAAGAGTGTCTGGTTCTTCATATGGATCTGGAGGTTCAGCTTGTATATCTGGAACATCAGGATGATATCCATGGCCATTGTTCCTCTAGTATTTGAGGAGGAAGGCCAGTAGTGGACAGTGGTTGGTGTCCACTGTGAGCCAGGATAGGTCAGGATTATATACAGGTAAAGTCAGGCATTTTAAACAGTGTATTATGTAAACAAGGAGGTAGTCATTCTGTTTCACCCTGTGAAGAAGTAGTTGTGACTTTAATGTTGGTCATAGCATAGTGTGTCAGCTCTTTAGTTTCCTCTCTCATCCACTTCTTTTGTCTATAAGCCTAAGCACAGTTGTTCTTCTGGATAACAATTAGAATTGTTCCCCTGGTTTCTTCTCAGAACTCAAACACAGTTCTTCTCAATGCCAACAAAAGATGTTTCTGATGTCTACTTCAGCAGGTTGATGTCTGGTGTTTTTAAGTTTGTTCCTGATATTGCAGCTAAGTGATCTGATACTTGCCTTTCTGTGGTCAAGGTAAGGGACTTCAGTGTTCCTTGAACTTGATTTCTCAAATTTTAATATATTTTTTAATATTTCACAACTAAAGTGATTTTAACTTTAATATCATGCTTGTCTATGAAAGTTCTTCATTTTTAACAGATTGTCTAATCCATTTTACCTTGAAACACTCAATAGCAGAGATTTCTCTTGTATAGAACCCTGCTTTTCTCAGGTGAGAACAGCCCCAGCTCATAGTAAGGGCAATGATGCATTTACTTTGTCCAAGGTTACACTATGTTGCATTGACAGTTCCACCTCTGCCTCTAATGCCTCTGCCTTCTGCTTATTTTGGAATAATCTAATGAAGCTGAAGGAAACTGGACTTCTCTGATCTCACATTCCTGTCACCATACACAGCCTTTGATCAACTGATGTTGTGTTGTTTACACTCTTTAAAGGGCTGGTCCAGAACACACTGCTGTCAGACACTATTATCCTGTGAGGATTTGGGCTTTGTTCTCTTGATTCCTTTACTCCAGCTCTTTGTCATCTTGCCATGAAAGTGGCTTCCTTCTTTGCTGTTACTCTTGGTGTAGACTAAGGAAAATGTAGGCTTTCATGAGCTTTGGGTTTTAAGGTAAGGTAGATCCCAGTGATATTTTCTTCTTAGAGCAGTATCACAGTTCTGTCTCCATCAGCTATATGGCTTTCCCCCAGACACTTGCTTGAGTCAGAAAGATTCTATACATAGATTCAGGGGGTCTTTTACTTTCTCAAGCAGAATATGTACAGTCCAGGGAAGTTAAATATTTTGACTGTTCCCAAATGTAAATATCAAAAGGGAAAATGCTCACAAGACTGCAGTGATTCTGTAACTGGTAGAACCCTTATTCGTTGTCTGAGCATGTTCTAACTGGACTGAAATAACTTCTGTGACAGGAATTCATCAATTTCATGCCAAAACTAGTGCTGTAGACACAACGTTACCAAACATTGTGCTGCATCTCAGGGATTCCGAAGCAGTTCAGTCTTACTTCAGTCTTACTCCTTGACAGAATTCTCACGCAACTAACTTGATCATTTGGAGATGTTTGCTTGAAATTACTCTTTTTCTGAGCATTATGGTGAGAACATTTGAAGCCTGTCAGACAGATTGTGTGCTAGTAATCAGTGATGTTGAAGACACATACTTTATATCTGTCCCTCTTCCATCGTTCCATTTTCCATCCAGGTGGTTGAAGAGTGACTGAAGTGGCAGCAACTGTGAAATGACAGGGCTATGTCCCCCCTAGGTAAGGAAGGAGGAAAGCCAGAGAGTAATCTGAGGATATTCTAAGCAAAAATTATTCTAATACTCAACTGATGAGATTCAAGGCCACCCACCTTTGGAAGGCACAGGTGGATTACACTTTTTTTTAAGTTAATATTAGTAATCTTTTTGTCTTTATGTAGTGAGAAAGCTTTTGAATGTATTCAGAAAGGAATCTGACTAATTTATATTTCTAAATTGAGCCATACAATGTCTGCTTCTGAACGCCTTCAGAGCTATTTCACTCATAAATCAAATTTGCCTACCTTTCTTCAGAAAACCTGCTTTATTAGGCACCTGAAGCCTCAGTGCAAGTTAGATATGTGCAGTAGGTGGACTGTATTCCAGTGTATATTCAAGTTCTAGAATGCCATTCAGCTGCTACATGATGTTCTGAAAGTCTAAACTTTGTGTATTCTAATTTATAATGTTGACATTTCCAAAGTCTTGAAAAGGTGTTCTTCAGCAAGACACATTTTTTATGCAACTGATTGGCGCCTGCCTTCTTCACAGCTAAGATTCAGAAACCAGGGGCTTGTTAGTCTGTTTTTCCTTGGAGAATATCAATATTGTTTCCCACAGTGCTCCCAGAAAACTGTTTTCTACAGGAGATGGATACAATGCTGGGAATTAAGGAGGGGGTTACTATCTTTTATGTAGTTGTCTGTTGGCTGGAGTGCTTGGCCAGATGTTGGAATGGCGTTTGGAACCTGTGACACTCCCTTTCCTAGACCCTAGGAGGTTTCTGAGCCAGGTGCTTGCAGAGTCAGGCTCGCTCACAGTTTCTGACCTAGCTGATGTTGAATTCTTTTCTCCACAATGGCACAGCTTCAATAGAAGGGGTGGAGAGTGGCCCACCCAAGAACACCCTATAGCCTGGCAGTTGCAGCACTCTCCAAGGAGGTGGGAGATGTGAATTGGATATCCTTTAGGCAAAGAAGGGAATTGTGGGAGATCCAAGTTCAACCTGGGTGAATGCTTGAGCCTTAAGGCTATTGTATAAAAGGGGCAGCAGCACCACCCTCTTACTTCCCCATCTTTGAAAAGAAAAGTGAATCCTGTTAGGATTTTGAAAGAAAAGGCGTAGTCGCCTGCCTTTGAAACAAGCTTTACAGGTTGTGGATCACAAGTGAAAGGAGACACCTCCCTGTAGCTCTGTGAAATAATTTCAGTGGTCTTCCTGCAGAGTAGGACGAGTGTGCAGGTGATTATTTCAGATTTTTTTGCTAAGGTGCTACATTCCCTCTATCCAAATTAGGGGAAACTTCAACTTGTCCAGCTTTCTAAAAGTTACAGAATCCAAGAAGTGAGACTCTGTTCCTGCCAGTTGCAGTAATAGGTTATGGCAGAAAGCATTTCAGGCTAGGGTTTGTTGGGGTTTTCTTGCTTAGCATGGCAGTTCCTAACAAGTAGAGTGGGGCATTATGAGATAACTTCATCTGTGATGGGAAGGTTAGTTGAGAGTTAGTGTAACCTGGTTTACTCTAAGTGCACTTTGCTGTTGTTCTTTTTCAGAGCTTTTTGTTAATTTGGGAGCAGTTTGAAGATACAAATCACCACAGCTACCATTCGCACCATGGCTTGGCAAGCGGGCTGCTCATTGGCCTCAGAGTCTGCCTAGCTCTGTCCCTGGCTGCTGGGCTGTACCAGATTATCACAGTGGAGAGAAGCTCGCTGAAAAGGGAGTTCTATATCACCTTTGCCAAAGTATGGGTTACATCAAGAAAACTGATCCCTTCTTCTGCATGTATAATTGTGGCATGCAGTTGACTGAAGCACTAAACTCTTTCCCTCCATAAGAAAGTTAAAGTGTCTGATTTGATTACATTGCAGCCTGTCATCATACTCTGAGTAGGCATTTTAATTTGACAAGGAGTATAGAGCTTTATAAAACAGAAATCCCACCTATCATTGTGTGGTTTTTGTTATGTTGACTGAAAATTAAACAATGGGTTCATAAAATAGACAGAAATGTAAATGTAGTTCCTGTAACTGTCATCTTTTCTAAGCTGGCATGTAGTCATTTTACAACTTAAACTCTTTTCTTTTAGGCCTGCATTCTCTGGTTTCTGTGCCACCCATGTCTTGCAACCATTGCTGTAATATTCAGAGAATATCAAAGAGAAAAGGTATGTACAGGCAAGATAAAAGAGATGAAATTTGAATAGTAGTTGTTCTTCATGTTTAATGTTTGTTAGCAAACTCATGCTCTTAGGCTGTTAATCCTATGACCCCAAAGCAACTTGAAAAGTCTTAGTCACACAGCTCTCATTGATGCTAATGTGAGTCATATTTTACAAAGGCATACAGGGCTCAAATCATCTGAGGGTAATCATTTCTAGGTTAAGGGAGGGAGAGGGGGAGATTGTTAAGTCAAAGGAAAATGTGGAGGGGGTGTTTTGTTTTATTGTTTGCTTGTTTGCTTTTAATTAAAAACAGCTTGGGGATTCTTTTAACAAAAGGAGTAGAAAGATAAATCAGTGGATTTTTTTTGTTGTTTGCTTTTTAGTCTTCATCCTTTAAAAGCTTTATGTGGCTAAATAGGTCAGGGAACCTGTAGCTGAACTGTATTCTCTAGATCAAGAAGTTTGACCAAATTGTTGTTTGGTTTGTAAGCTCTAAACAGTTGAAAACAAAGGTGGGCTCCCTGAGTTTCTCAGTTTCTTAAACTTGTTGGAAACTGGAGAACTCCATGTGTGGAGCCTGCCATGTTCAGATGAAGTGCACCACTATTCTCAGGTGATTGACTATCTCATTCCAGCATAGGGTTTGCTTCTTTTCTTTATGCTTATAACCATCTGTGCATTTGTATGCAAATATATTCAGAAAGTGAGCTTTTATTTGTGTAGAGGATATGTAAGGGAAAGAAAAATGTTTTATTAAATATAAATAATAAATTAAATACTATGTTTGATTTACAAAAAGAAAAGGAAATCTAGGCAGAAAAAAATTGATTCCCGTAGAGTTACTAATGAAGAGACTTTTTGTTTTGCTTGATGAAAACATCCTCAGGGCAGCAGGACAGTCTCTAGAGATGGGATCAGTAAAGTAGTATTTTTGCAGTATTTTGAGGTTTTGAGCTTACTAAAGGAAGACTGCAATTGCTCTGCTCTTTCATTTGAGCAGTTTTAACCATTATGTACAGCTGCAGTTCATACACTATGATAATTCAGCTGTGTTTGCTCCTTCAAATGCACCTCAATACAATAAAATGCACAATCAATAAATATCATATTTATTTAAGAAAAAAATGTATTTTAAAGGACTGCCTGTACATAAATTGAAGACTTGTGCTTTCTCAGAAACAAGTTACACCTTTAGGCATTTGATAAATACAGCCTTACACAGCTTTTACAGATGAAGAGACTTGAACTGAAAGAGATCTGGCTAAGTGAGATTGATAAATTACTAGCTTCAGCTCCATGATTGTGCTAGTGCAAAGTGTTTCCAAGCTTTCTTTTTTTTTTTTTTCCCACTCTGTTTGTTGTAAGAATAGAATATCTAAACATCACCTCTGCTTGTGAAACTGCATGGGTGGTGAATTGCAAGTCTGAAATTCCCCAGAACTGAGACTGCCAGAAGGGTTATGTGACTTGCCCAGGGCTATCTACTGATTTAAAAACACCCAGGTGTGAGAGTCTGATTCCTGGACTTAAAATGCATGTTCGAATCTTTTTTAACTGCAGCAGTAGTAAAAGGTTTCAAGTTAAACCTCAAGCACTCATGCTGATAGAAATTTATTGTATCTTGTTTAGTGAGAGGTTTTTTTTCACTTACTGTTTCTTTTTCTCTCTTTTCTTGTCTCTAGATTATTACCATAGGTGTTATCCTCTGTCAGTGCATCTCCATGGTTATCCTCTACAGACTTTTTCTATCTCATAGTCTATATTGGGAAGTATCTTCACTGTCATCAGTGACATTACCACTAACAGTATCCTCTGGACATAAAAACCGACATCACTTCTGAGATGTTTAGGAAGAATATATTGTGTAATAAATGTGCAATAATGACTTGAATATACAGGTATTTTTGTCACAAGTGTATGATACATTGGTTTCACTGGAATACTGACTGATAATATCAAAGCACTTCACAGACCTTTGGTTTGACAAGAGTCCTAGAATAATGTGTTAAAAATATTGTGGAGTGTAAAAATCCCTTATTTGAAGAGTTTTGTAGATGCTGTTTAACAAGTGATGCTGAGCTGTATCACAGAAGAATACAATGAATCTTTTCTCTCTGGTTCACAGAGACCAAAAATGCCCTTACTTTGTTTCAATACTAGGTTTGAAGGTCTTATAAAATGAAGTTCTTAAAACGTTTACATGCTCAAACAAGTTTAAAATAGGCCAGTTGGGAAATTGGTGTGATGCATAACGATGAGTACAAGGAATTTTTTATTTTCATGCTTTAGAGAAAATGCATTTTATGTATCAGTGTAAAAGATGGGGAAGGAAAGGAGGGAGAAAAATCTAGAAAACATATGTAAAATGTTCACAACTGACTGCAAGAAACTTTCCTTTATCACGGGTGTAAAAGAAAAGCCTTTTTTTGCATCTAATGTTCATACTGGTTAAAATTCTAATGGGAATGTAAATAGGGTTTTATATCTTCCTTTTAAAAAAAAAAAGTAAATGTAACTAAAAATTTCATCCAGTAATCAAGGTCTAAACAGTTTTTGAGGCTTGGAATACATAGCAACATAAAGGTAATTAAAGCAGCAGCCTTGCATCTTTTAAAGGAGGAAAAAAAAAGGCAAAGAAAATGGAATGGGTGATGTGGTACTAGAATTTTAATCCTGATATAATTCATTTCTGTTACATTGAGGATTCAATCATAATTAAGCCATATACACAGATTAAATTAACAGAAGCATTTCAAATAAATGTTGGTTTCAGTCATCAACTACCCATGAATTCCTGCCCAAGGATACTTAATCAGGATTAAATTTTCTATGAATAATTGAAAAACAAAATACTCACTGGATTTGTTATAATCCATGTTGGCACTGGGTTCTAAGTAGTTGCCATCTTCCATCCATTGTAATAAAGCCATTCTACTTTGTGATGCCCTAGCATTCAGAAAGCCAGTGTAAATATATACTTTATTGAAGTGCCTATTTATAGAGTATGATTAAATCATGCTGACACTTTTTTCTTTTATAATAAGAACATACCTACTGCCATTGTGAGTGAAATTTTTCTTTTTGGATTTAGCTTAGTTTAGACTTCATATATGTGTGTTTCTTCACAAAATGGATTTTATTTTCTAGAAAATCAGTATTTGCTTCTTCTTAACAGTGTGAATTTGATTATGTCTCTGTGAAAATGTGAAGACACTGGTTCTAGCTTTAAAATAGCCCTAATTTTTCCATTTATCTTTGCCTCAGTTGTGAGCATAGTTGAAACATAAGTCTATTCCATTTTAGTTTAGAGGCAAAACTAGATATTTGCCTTTGACTAAGGCAAAATGGCAACATGACAAAGTTGCTCATTAAATCATCTCCTTTCTTATTGTTTGTAATTCAGATCAAGAATGGCAGGTTGAGGCTGGAAAAGATGAGATATTATGATTTCACACAATCTTCAGAATGATTAAAAGATTAATTATTACATTCCTCTGATAACCACACAAAAATATTATTGGTTAAAACTTCAGTCTTTATTTCCCTGCTTATCTCTGTACTTTTCATCTTCTCAAGAAAAAAGCATCCTGTTTTTGATAAGTCTCCAATAATGTAGTAAAAGAGTTCTATCTGTCCTCATGTGTAAGACTTCAAATTCATACATAAAATAGAATTTTCTGATAGACACAAGCATTACTTTACAGTTTATGATCCGTTGTGATAAAAGTTTTAATCTATGCAAAAAATCCTCTATGTGACTTTCAGAAGAGGCACTCCATTTGTTGTATTCTCCAGAAGTACTGTCTTACTTCCTGTAGTTCTTCTGACTTGACTTGGTCAGTATTATGATACCATTTACCTTATTTTTGCTTTATAAATACACTCCACATCAAATCATGGTTCATTAGTGTAAGCATGAAATGTAAGATGTTGTCTTTTACATCTTTCCCACATTGCCCCATACCCCAATACCCACATTCCCCATTGCCCCAAGTAACATTAGTTTCTTAGTTTGGCATTGGATCCAGTTACTTGAAAATAGATTTTAATTTTGCTATTTATGTAACTTTAACAATGAAGCATCAGTTTCTCCTGGCAAGTGGTACAAAGGGTGTCTTAGCAGGTGCCCAGGTCTCTTAGTAGATAACCAGTGCTGACCAGTTTGGTGTTATTAAACAATTAATGCACGCTGTAGCAGCACATGCAGTAATATTCAGTTAATTTGGTGCGAGATTTCTTGGGGAGGGGGGGAAGTCTTCAAGTATGACTAATGGATAAAGCTTCATACCTAACCTGTACTCTGTGTTGAAACTTACTGCCTCTGATCATGCGTGAGGAGTGGTTCAAGTATGTAAAAGTCTCTCTCTTCTTTCTAACTTCCATCTCCTGGGAGAACAGCTGATAAGACCTTGCTTTTTTCATGCTTATCCACACTGTTACCCATCCTATCAATGTGATTTCATAACTTCATCTTGAAAAAATAGCTTCTAGCCTTTTTCAGTTGTCTTCAATGCATGCATCCCATCTTGAAAACTAGACTGGTAAAATGTGCTGTCACCCCAAAAAAAAAAAAAAATCAGTTTTCTGTCACAAACTGGGGATTTTGTGTACATCGGCAGAGCTGATGCTGTGCCCTACATCAGCTCTGCATTAGGTGACTGCAGTGGACAGAAGCATTCCTCCAGTGCCCCCATGGCCCCAGTGTGTGCTAGCTGTGGGTTTGTGCCGGCTGAAAGCTGCCACACAGCTGGGGAATTTTCGGGAGAGCTCCAGCAGTTCCAGGCTTCCTGACACCTCATTGCTGCCCGGGGCTGAAGCAGGGTCCCCCTGAAGACAGCACTGCCCCTACTGACCAAAGTGAGCAGCACTGTGGAGGTCAGAGGACAACATACCACCTGAGGGTTTCTGTGCATTATGCAGTTCTGTTTAAGTGAAGTCGGGGTTACTGTGTCTGCTCAGTCTATTGCCTGTGTGTATTGACAAGACTGCAAACTGAAGTTGGGTGTGCTCTGAAGAAATCCACTTCTCTGTGTGAGAGGGCTTCACCTGGCCAGCCACCCCCTTTTCTGCTGGCACAGATGCCACTTTGTGTCAGCTGTGATTTGTTGGTCGGGAGGGAGGATCTCAGTGCAGTAGACAAAAGGGTGAGATCACCAACTTGATCTACAAGACCCCCCAGAAGCTTTCACGAGGGATCATCCTACAGTGCTCCTGACCAGCGATGTGGAGGCTGGAGCAGTTCTGGGGCTCATCACAAGTCTCCTCAGCTATTCACTCCCCTTCCAGTAGACTGTGTTTATTGTATATTTATTTAAAGTGCTTCTGGTAGGAAAATGAATATTTACAATTAAATATATGTAAATGGAAGTGGAAAGACTTGATTGGAAAAAAACCAAGTTTCTAATACATATTACAATACTAAGACCTCCCACACAAGATAAGTGTTTATAACCAGATCTAAATGAATATTTCTTTATGGTTCCTGTGCCAGTGGAAAGCCATGGAAGTATCAAAATCTTTTTGTTTGCATCTCGATCCTCTACAAAAGTGGAAGAATGCTTTATTTGATTTGGCTTTAGTTTATTCTGTGCAATGTTCTGCCTCTAATTGATAGAATAAATGTTTATGAGGCTGGCCAATGCTGATGTTAGGCTGTACCTTTTAACTTTGTGTGACTGCACAACATACAAAGAGCAGGTTCTTCTTGCGAGTATCAAACATTAAAAGAGAAACTATTAACTAGGTTTTCAAAGGGTCCTTCTTTTCTAACTGCACTGATCTATGTTTTTTCAGTGAATGCTAAGTTCCCGCTCTAGTTTTCCTTAAACCACTGTTTTCTGCAAATCTATTTCCTGCCTTGTGAATTCTTTCTCCCACTGTGCTCTCTCTCTGCCCTCCCCTCTCCCCCTCTCTCATACATATGATTTTGAGTGTAATGGGTGTCATTTCTCTCTCTCTATCTCTCCATCTGTTCCCACGATCAACACTCACAGTCCAGCCCCTGTTTTGCATGTAGTATGTGTGTATTCTCTTTATCCCTGTCCTGTTTTGATTTCGCTCTTTTCCTGTCTCTCCTTTGCCCTCTGTGCCATCTTTCTAGTCTCCATAGCCATCAGAGACCTGAGGGTGTGGTTTGACATTGCAGCTAATTTGGGCTGTTAGCTGTCAAAAATAGTGTCCCTGTTCCCCTGGCTACACACCTCTCGCTTCCCTTGAACTGACACTGCCTGTCACCTCGCAGTTTGAGTGAGGAGTTGAGGAGGTAAACTGGTAAAAAACTCAGCCTTTACCAGCAGCCAAAGAAAAAACAATTTAGTTCTCAGTGGTTTTAGCTCACCAAATCAAACTTCGTGGAGTGCTTGTGGCACTGGTGGAGATGGGGTAGGAAAGCCACACTGAAGAGAGGCCAAACCCCTTTAGAAGGCCAACTGCGAGGCTGGTCAGTCTTTTACAAGCTTTCAGCCTTGGAATTCCTCCATCTCTCTCTTCTCTGTCTTCTGCTGCGTTTTGGATGCTGACGGTTGGACTTTCCCTGCCCTCAACTGCTGTCTTACAACAGGAGTGTGTCATTAGGGGCAGGGGGTTCCAGCAAAGGGCAAATTGTTCAGCTGCTTTAAAGTACTTTAACTTGAAGTTGTGCCTTTGCATTCTTAAAAAGGAGCTGGGAGGCATCACAAGCAGCCCCCAGTTTAAGGAAATATTATTGAGGAGAAAAAAAACATGAAAATAGACACAAATGGAGTGGGTGCCATTTTTTTCAACAGATGGTAACACTGTGGTAGAAGGCAACCAAGGACATCACATGGCTTTTCACAAGGTCTGCCTGTGGGTAAGGAGAGATTTAATCCAAACATCTGCAGCCCAAAGAGCAAAGGTTTCCAGCAGCAGGTACTCT